CAGTTTATTGGCGAGGGACCCAATTTTTTCAAAATTTCGTTAGAAATGTTGGAGGGACCAGGGGCTTGTCATTGGGTAGATATTTAATAATGAGCAACTATTTGTCATAAGTAAGAACGTCAAGTATGTGTTCAAATACATTATCATCAATAATTGATGAAAATATTCCTATTATGACCAGGAATTTGAAAATTAAAATGACATAGGATCAGTAACATCTATGTTTTTTGCTCCTGCTACAGTTTGAAAATAAAGAGCAATGGCCTTTTTGATTTTCGTTGGGTCAAGTTCTAAATAAAGATCCTGATTAGGTTCATTGATTAGAATTCTGTCGAGAACAATAGTCTTTCTAGACCTATTAAGGTAGGAATCTATCATTTTGGAAGGAGCATCCTTAAAATTGTCAATTCATTGTAAAATATGAGCTTTGATGCAATCATTGGTTTCGTGTTTAGAGACTATTTTCAATTTAATTTCCAAAGGTTTGATGATAGAAGCTTTCAGGTCTAAAAAATACGCTGTTACTGGGAATAATCTTCTCTTATTACTTTATATAATATATGTAAATTCCTTTGCTGCAGTAAGTAACTTCCTTATTGTCGGACTTTATAACCTTAGGGAATCTTACGTCCTAAGGTATCCGGAATGCCTTGGAATTACTTCACTTAGTTTACGAACTTAAGGGTTTAGGAACTTAGAAAATTTAGAGAATTTATTTATTCTAAGTAATGAACTCAATTGCAAGTTAGTGTAGTGGTTCACGATCAAATCCTAGATGATGAACATGTAGAAGTGAAAAGTAATTATTTTTAAAAGTTGATTCCTTTATTTATTACTTGAAATTCACGAGTATTTTAGAACTTACAAGAGAGGTATTTTATAATATGAGCAAAAAGCTATTTTATTTATACAAAATTAATTTGCTATGGCTAACTAATTGCTATGCTATAAACTAACTAAATTTGTAACTACAAGTGTTAATATAATAATAATAATGATTATAAGAATAATAATAATTATAAAGATAATAATAAGTATAATAAAAATAATAAAAATAAGAAGAATAACAATGATAATTAAAATAATGGAAATATGGGAAATTAGAAAAATTCAATGAATCATAATAATCTGAAGAATTCAGTAAATCTTAAGAATCCTACGAATCTCCAAAATCCTGTGGATCCTAAGAATCATCAAAATCTGGAATTTTGCAGATCATTTAGTATAGTATTGGTCACGCTTATTACATCGTCATTCCATTGATCATTAATGATCAGTGCAGTAAGATTGATTCAGACGTTGACAACGTCTTGAGGTCTTTTTGATAAAAAAAAGAATCAAGTGAAGCTGATGAGATTCTGTGTTCGTTAGCGATAATCAGAATAGTATAATGCTCGTCAGAATTAATGCTGAATGAGAAGGACAAAAAATTGGGAATAGCTGCTTCTTTGTCTATAGAAATTTTTATACTGTGATATAGTTTGTATAGCTTTTTTATTTGCTTGTGAATAGTAAAATTATTGAAGGTGAATAGAGACTTATGATGTAAGGTCGAGATAGTTTTAGGAATATGCTTGTTAGCAACACACAGAGTTGATTAGACGAAAAATTCTCACGCTTTATTGAGTATTGATTGAGAGAAACCCAGGTCAGAATAATTACAATTACAAAACTTTTTCGATTTCCTGATTAATTTGTCTAATTTATCAGAAAATAGGTCTTAGTGTAAAAATGGAGTTTTTCTAAAATTAAAAGATTTATATATAGTTTTGTATTATTTTCGGTAAGCGTTAGAGGAATTGTTAAAAATATTATTTTTGTAGATAGTTATGTGTAAAGAAAGATAATCAGATTCATAGATAGTACTTGAGGAATCGAAAATTTTGAAAGAAGTAAGATCATGAGAAAGAGAAGAAGATGTGAAAATGTAGTCAATATGGATGTGAGTCTTTTTTGAAGATGTGAATGTATGGGGAAGCTCTTGTGAATTATCTGAGATTAGTGACATGATATGAATAAAGTTTAAATTAGTTAATTTGTCGATAAAAGATCTGTATATTCAATTTTTTTTGAGTTATTATTTATGTTTTGAATCTTGTAAAAGTCTATATTGAAATCGCCTATTAAAATTATATGATATGATTTTGATTGTGCTTCTAGAATAATATCAATAACTAGAGCATCAAGTTTTGATCTAAGGGCTAGTTAATCTTGATCATTAGTATTGGCAGGAAGGTATATTTGAATAATCCTTAATTTGGTTTTGTTTTTGAATTGGAGATTAATATAAGCAATTCTGTTGAATAAAAATTTTTGATAAAATATATGGTCGTAAAGATAAGATCTAATGATGAAACTAACGCCTTGGTAATTACTTTGAGGATTATTAGATGAGAACATGAATTTGTATAAGTGGTTATGAAAATTTTTGAATGGTATGATTCTTGTGTAAAACTGAGATGTGTTTCGCTTAAACCTAAAATATTGAGATTGTAAGAAATAAAAAATTGTTTGATCTGTTCAAATTTGTCGTTGGATACGTAGCTTCTAATATTATGAGTAGTGATAAAAAAAATTTGGGTCATTGAAATGCGAGTAGAAAGTATCGTTTGATAAGATTTTTTCATTATTAGTAAGGTAAACATTTTGAACACCATTTTGGATAATATATTGGTGTACACTCATTAATTAGAAGGGGTGAGAGTTTGAGTGAGAGAGTATAAAGCGGAGGAAATTGAATGTATTTTAGACTTAATGTCGTTAACTGAAGATTCAACTGTGTCAATTCATTGGAGATGATTTGATTGAAAATTAGGAACATCAGTTGAGATAATGGAAAATGATGAGTTATTGCTAATATCAATTAGGATAGGAGAAGTAACAGGGGTTATTTCTATTTCTTCTTCACCATTGTGAAGTGAAAATTCGTAATTAGGGTCATCGACTTGTTTAGGGTCATGTTCAACATAGTGCATATACTCAAGTCTGTGCAAACAGAAATCAATGTCCTTTTGGTTTTGTTCTTATTTGATGATAGAGTTTTTAAAGAAATGATTTCGTCGTTGATGAGAGTGAGCCTATTTTCAATGTTATCCAATTTTTCTTAGACAAATTTAAGAGCGTTGATAGTATTCAGAGGTACTCTTTTTTGATCGTTATTACTATTCTGCTTATTATCTGTGGATTGATTATTATTGGGTGTATTGTTTTTTTCGTTTTGTAATACGTAATAGAAGGATTTGTGAGGATCTTGGTTATAGAATTGAGAGGATCTTAGGGGTCTATATTATTCCAGCTTGAAATGATCGTAAAGTGGTTTATAAGAATTAGCTAGTTTTCGATTTGTATAATCTTTGGATTCGTGGTTAAGTACGCCACAAATTCTGCAGTGTTTCTTGGAAGGTTCCATCCAGTATAGAACTTTTCCTTTGAATTTTTGTGATTGGTTAGTAGCAGATACGAGATCATCATTGTTAGCAAAATTAACAAATGCATAGGGTCAGAAACAATATTACTAGTCACGTGAAATGAAATATGATTTAGCTTTGATGTGAAGTAGGAAGTCAATTAGTTATCTTTGGTTAGTATTAAAGGGTAAACCGGTTAGTTTGAGTTCGTATTGTTGTCTGAAAGCAGTTTGTGCAGGGTTGAGGTCTGTCAGTTCGACTCTTAAAAAATTTTTTAAAAAGAATACAAACCACACGTGATCATAGAATTGTTTAATGGATTCAGGGTTCTCAAAGACAATAAAAGCAATTTGCCAGGATTCACTGATGATCATTGAGAAATGAGAAAAATTTCTGTATTTGGTAAAATAATTTCGTATCACATCAGATTTGGTGAAAAGGAGTATGTCAGAAACTTTGATTGTCCTGCCTTTTTCGGCATCTTGTCTTTGTTGTTTCACTGCAGGATCTACAATGGTAAAAAATAGGATTATGCTGTGTTTCCTGGGTTTTTGTGAGAGCATGCTTTAGGGAGTCCATCGATTCAAAATAGACAAAGAATTTTCTGAGTTTGGAAATGTAGGTTGAGCCTTGAAAGCTGTTGAAATAGATGAACAAGAAGTTAATAAATGTGCGCTTTTCAGCCACAGATTTTCCCTTGATATTAGATGCGTTATTAGTCACGTAAAAACACGTAGGAGCAGTGATAGGTGGTTTCGATAGTATCTTGATCACGTGGTTTGACAGTTTCTTCAACTTCGTCAGACTATGACTGTTTCTGTTTCCTTTATCGGTTGGAGGTAAGACGTAGTTAAAGTCCGTATCTTCAAACATGTTATCTTTATTAAAGTTTGCATGCATGGAATCGTTTGTAGTGAGTTTTGGTGTTAATAAAGGAGAGGAGTTAATTATTGGGTTAGAGGATGAGTCAACATCCATATCAGCTGGTGGTCAGAGCGTTATGCTTCTTGTACAATTATTTTGTCAAGTTTTAAACTCTTCATGACTTTTTATTATTCTTATTTTAAATTTTTTTTTTTGATTTTGACAACGATATAAAAAGGAACTTGGAGATTTATCACGTGAATCAATGTTAATATAAAAGTAAATAAAATAAAATGGCCGTGTAAAATCATCATAATTTAATTTTAAACTTTGCTCTTCTCCAAAATTGTAAATGAAGACATTATTTCAGTAAATTGCTAAATTTTCATATTTTTTTAGTTGAAAAATAAATAATTCATGTGAAATTATTTTTTAGATTTTTTAAGAACATCAATTAGTCAATTAGGGAACAGACAAACTATAAACCCGTCACCGGCTCTGTATTTACTAGGTATTCTCGTATCTTTTGATTTAAAGCCAAATGTATCACAAGAACAAATTTGATGAGTTTTTTTTGATATTTCCATGTGTTCATTGTAGTGCGACAAAGATCGTATACGATAGAATTTGCTTGAACATTGCCTAGATTGAAGCATGCAATATTTGTAACTCTTTAAAGATTTGCTGGCGAATCTAAAGTACTTTAAAAGAGCACTACGTTAGCAAAGATCATGCCGAGTCATTTCCTATGAGCGCCCTGGATTCGAGTTTTATGTTAGGCGAAGATCGCAACACTTCGAGGCAGTAAGTTCTCACTCGCTCAAAGGACAAATCCAGGGGCTTGCTAACAATATATGTAAAACATACCTCTCATCACCGGTTCTGTATTTACTAGGTATTCTCGTCTCTTTCGATTTAAGATCGTATACGATAGAATTTGCTTGAACATTGCCTAGATGAAGCATGCAATATTGTAAATCTTTAAAGATTTGCTGGCGAATCTAAAGTACTTTAAAAGAGCACTACGTTAGCAAAGATCATGCCGAGTCATTTCCTATGA